GTCCATCAGGTGGAAGACTTAAATTACGAATAGAACAAGTAGAAATAAAATAAAATTAATTTTTATTAAAAAAAAAAAAAAAAAAAAAAAAAAATTCTTTTTCAGGATAGTTCAGCTCAATTAATTTATTATGAAAGAAATGATATATCATCATTATTGATTCCTAAAGTTTCGAATTATTTAATTGTACCTGTTTCTTATCCAAATGAATTAAAAGTGAGTTTATTTAATAATTATTTTAGATAATGCATAAATCAACGTGTTTTCAATGGGAATTTTATGATCCTCAAATGTCTGGTTCTATTGATGGAACTGATTTAATACCACATGATAAAGCTATAATTCGTGCTTACAAATCAAAATATAAACCTCGATATAATTGTTCATCATTATTTATTGGACATATTCCACCATTATGTACTGAAAATAATCTTGCAGAAATATTTCCTAATGCAATTCGTATTAATCTTATTCGAGATATAATTACACGGGAATCAAAAGGTTATGCATTTCTTGATGGATATATTGATAGAAAAAAAGAATATAAATTTCATGGACATTTATTATTAATTGAAGATGTTGCTTCAAAAAAAGTCTTTGGTTGGAAACCAAGAAGATTTGGAGGTGGATTAGGAGGAAATAAACAATCAGGACAATTAAGATTTGGAGGAAGTCAAAAACCATTTAAAAAACCTTTTTATATTAATGAACAAATTAAACAAAGATGGAAATATTTAGAAAAACAAAAAGATAAATACAAGTGAAATTTAAAAAGAAAAAAATTTTTATTTTTTATTTTTTTTTTTAATTTAAATAATTATTTTATTTAGAAAAAATATTCGTTCATCTTCTCATCGAAAAGAAAATTATTAATTAATTATATATTTAGGATATTTTATTATTATCATTGGGTGGAATTCGTGGACAAGTTGATAAACATCGAACTTTATTTTTAATAGATCATGGACAAACACGAATACATATTGATCAAGTTAAAGGTTTTCAATCATCAATATTTATTGAAATTGAAGTTATTTTACAAGATGATCAAACACCTGAACAAGGACAACTAATTGCAAAAGATTTATGTCAAAAAATAGGAATTCAAGAAAAAAATCTTATTAAATCGGCTTATATTGATTTATTATTAGAGAAAAATTCTATTTAAGATTATCATTAAGTTTTTTTTTTTTTTTTTCAGTAAACAAA